GGATACTATATAAGACTTATACAAATCGATTGCATATGCATTTAAAGGGTGTATGCAATAACAGATAAGTCCGGACTTGGGACCAGACAAAAGTATGCATTTAGAGGAGTTATGCATTTAGAGGAGATGTATTTAGAGGAGTCTCACTGTACATAACGACAATCATGCATGCACACATCCTGTGTGATAATAAATAATGGTTGTACAAGAAAAAAAATTACCGCATGTAGTTTGCACCAATTATGAAGACGACTCTACTTCGTGCCTATATCACCTAATACCACCACTCCAACAACCACTTCGTTACCTAATGCCGTTTCCAGCTTCTTCTCAGGACAACCCACTATCCCTCAATTCCACAGTCGAGCCGAGAGCGGCCAACTGACCTCACTTTTTATTTTGCATAATGGCTTTCCTGAGCAACGAAAAGAAATTGGAAAATTCTTACTAGCTGTCCTCCAGGAGAAGTTAATTATGTATTTAATGGTATGTATACGAACGTCTTTGAGCCAAGCCTCATAGGTAACGATGATGGATTGAAATATTTCAATCACATTAACCAATTTTTAATCATAGGCTTATGAACAAACCCCGTAGTTTTTCAAGAAGGCATCCTTACAGCTTTAGAACAATATAACATGCTCGGAACAACTTGTTACAGTCACACCACCCGGACAAGAGCATAATGTACGATAGCCGTTAAAGTGCTTGTAGTCTGATATATGAACATTGTAATTACATCTAACTTCTCAATCAATATAACTCTTCATTCGATGTAATAATAGTTTATCATCTCCAAGTACGTCCAGACATTTTCGTAGATTGCAAATCACATCAAAAGTTTCGCTTTGATCATATGCGACAAGTGATCTATGCTCATAGAACAGTTATAGTTGAAACCAAAAGGTTACTTGTGCGTAGATATACACTTCCTCCAAGAATCAATCTATATGCAAAGATATGGTGAAGAAGAGGAATGTAATATGCAGTGGCATTTGAATTCTCTCCTAATAACAAAGACTACATGATAAAAGTATCCGACTTATACAAACCTTTCCTCTCTAACGACTATGATAATAATGAAGAAATGGAGGATAAAGACTGGCAGGAAGGAGCATAATACATTAATGTGAAGTATGCAGCGATCCCGCTGACGATATTGAAGACAGACAAATACCAAGATCGTACACTGACATTCAATTACAAGCAAGGCTGATTAACTGATCAAAGTCTCAACCTCTATTTCCATTTTATTTGCATGGACATTTCCGTCACTCTCGTAAGAATGATTAAAGGAAAAACAGTAGGCAAAAGTCCAGACAATGAGTTGAGTTAGATGCAGCTGCTCCACTAATTAATTTGGACCCTATTAACAACGATCCTGCTGAAAAAAAAACGAGCATACGTTTCGGCAACATTAGCATTATCTATACTATCTCATTGGTTGGCAGTGTACTTGCTCCGCTAATGAAACTACAAATTAATTACTTAGAACGAACCAATGCCATAGTCACAAAGAATAAACCAGATATAATTCGTGTTAAGAAAAGGTATACGTATGAGATATAACTTTACGAGCTACCGATATAAAAACGTGTGTTGTCTCAGTGAACTGATCCTAAGATACAGAGTAATCCATATCGTGACTTTTTACAACGCAAAACCCACGTAATTTCAAGCAAGCACTATAATCTATAACCGCAAAATCTCAATCGTATCGGCTTCGTTATTACCCAATAAAACCGAAATACAAATCCTAAAAATCTATCAGAATGTTCTCAAACACTACCGATTTTCTCGTATTCGTCGGCACCGCGATAATTCTTTACATCATAACCTGGTGTAATTCTAGGAACACTGAAAAGCGATTCGACGCGAAAATGACTGCCTCGCTCAAAAAACAGCAAAAAATTATCTCTGGTTTATCTGAAGCCGTAAAATATCTTGGTTATGACATTCGCGAAGTTCGAGATGGGGTCGCAAGAAGTAGTAATGCGGATCTGGTATATCCAAAACGCCTCAAAATTATAATGGCACCGTTTTCGAACTGTGGGAAGAAATTGATGCATTATTCAACGAGAAAAAGCGTGTC